TTAACAATATCGGAATGCTTACAGCGATTGCTGGTATTTCCACAACGGCAAGAATTATAGACGTAACATGTAGATTGCCCAAGTTAAAGTTTCCGATGTTCAGCAAAAGTCCGTAGTACGCTATGGTCATTGAAAACCAAGCGATGAACAAACAAAACGTTCGCTTTAATAGGACTCCTTTGAAAAGCATAAAAAGACTCGGTTGCTCGGCTTCGGTCTCCGGTTTGCTCAAGAGTAACATTTTGTCTAAGTCGTCTGGTATTGTGCGGTTGTTAAATTTAGCCGCTTTCACAATAATTTCCTTTGCTTCTTGAATGCGTCCCCTGCCTATTAACCATCTTGGTGATTCGGGTAAAACGAACCTGTAAAAAGAGAGATAACATTTCATTATTACGATTGTTGTACAATTGATTTAAACAAAAATCTAATTTACCACTGCTCTGGGCCTTGGAATTGTAAATGATTCCCGGGTTACATGATTAAGCATTTGATTTTAAGACAGTTTTTAAATAATTGTTCTCCTTGAGTTAAAGTTTGTACTAACTTTTTTAACATTGTACTTAGTGAAAAAATAAATTACTGATTATATGAGAGAGTTACTTCTTATGTAGTATATTGTAATTACCATAGTAATAACAGGAAGCATCCCGGTAACGATAGTGACAGTTGCAAATCTCTCCAATTCGGTAGCAGTAATGAGAGAAGAGACACGATGATGTAAGCCAGTGGCAGCGGGAAGAAGTTACAAACTCCAGCAATCGTCACCCAGTTGCCGCTCACCAACTCAACGGACAATACGAATGCTGCGTACACCACGGATACGGATACAAGGCCCATAACGAGACGCACCGCTACGTACTGAATGTAAGAACGAACCAGTAACGATATTATTGCCAACACACACTGTAATATCATCATGCCCATCAATATGCGTTTTCGTCCAAATCTGGAAGTACAAAAAAAACCATTTAATTGTGCGTGCCAATACAACTAAAGGTTAAGTTATTGTTAAGACTGTAACAAAAATTAATTTAATATCAATTTCTTTTGCAGCATGTAATTAATAAAACAATTAGGATTGATTTGTATTTATCGAGAATAATTATTTATTTAATCGATAGCAATTATCTCTTAGAGTTAAATGTATCAAACAGTTCAGATTACAAAGCAATACCATATTATTCGGTCCTTCAAATCTACTCTATTATTAACATGAGTCTCTTATACAAACAATTCGAATGTTATACATATATTTCTATACATTGGTAGAGTATATTTATCGAATAGAAAATTTTGGTTAAGCTGACAGTCTTTGTCAATTCCATATCTGCTGGGAGAACCTATATACCATACAATATGTATGGCATATTCCACATGTGTTATGTAAACTATTTGTTATGCTGTGGTTTTGTAAATTTGTAAATGCCTTACTTGTCAGAAATCCAACCGCCCACGACTCCACCAATTCCAACACCGATAAGGAACACAACTTCTGCGAGGTTTGTCAATCCTGCATTGTCACAGACTAGATTCCATTCTGATATTATCGTTTCGCCAACTTCTGACCGATCGTAGTCCCATTGTTGGCATTTGAGAAACGTATCCAGGATAGGTGCTGTATTATTTAGTATACTTTCTACAGTGATTCCATCGGGTAATTCACGAACATAACATGCGTCTACTGGTTGACTGTAATTAATCCATTTATCTATGGGCAGACCAGCCAGACTGTCGGGCATTCGACACCAGAACTTCGTAGACTTAGCCTGTAAATTATAAGAAACATTTAAGATTTACCAAGAAGTCACACAATGAAACTACGTATTTGAAGATTATTATTACATGTGTAAATAACCAAAACATTTTGAGCATACATTATGAGAGATACAAATTGGCAGCTGATCCAATATGGTATGCTTTACGAAAATCTTTCCATAATTTAGTAGTTTGTGTAAATAAGTATTTAGCGAACTTCATTTTATTATGATCAATTTAAATATACATATACTATATTTTTCTATGTATGTTTTAATTATTATGTATGTGTATTTTAAAAAAAATTAAATTATTAGGGCTTTAAGAAAAGATAGAACTTACTGTAAATGTTGGTAAATATATGTGGAAAGTGCATGGGAATGAGAACATCGCTAGTAGAAAAGTCATTAACAGTTGCCATTTTCCGTAGTTACCGATAACCGTGGATACTACATCAGCAGGCTCAGGGTCGGCTGCGGCTGATTTTTCTTTGTTCTTCTGACTTGGGATTACTGAAACAAAAAAATATACATATAGTGAGAATGATGATTAATTGTAATAAAGAATGATCAATCTGGAGAAACGTAGTGGTCGACTAAACTTAGAGTGGGATAAGTTTAGGGAGATGAATAATACTTTTCATAGAATTACACATATTCTTAACTATCTTAAGATTTCCCAGTTACATTTAAATATAAGTTAGTTTTTTTTTTGGTTTGATAACGTAGTAATAATAATAATAATAATAATAATCATTTATTTCAGATATCAAAGATCCATAAGGTGTTAGTGTAAACTTACAAACTAGTGTTAGTAGAAAATTGACATAATTAATATAAATAACAAAAATCTCACATTACACTAGCCTACATGTAAGTGTATCCAACGAGCCAGCATCGCCGAGTCCCATCTGTCCATCAGCGCACTCAGCGTAGTGAAGTGCGTTTCCGAACTACGTGACTTGAGTTTTAATTAGTTGAAGCTTAGGTCAACTTAACACTAATGAATCAATCAAATAAATTAAAACTTCAGCTTCATAAATAGTAAGTGATAATTAGTCTTCTATTTGTCGACTTATTGTTCTATGTTTGATGATAAACAATTTACTATTGAACAAGGTAAAAGTAATGCACTCCTCGCAAGTCATTAATATTTTTCTCTTGAGATTGTTAGTAAATATTTGACAGATTACATGGAACTAATCCCGTCTGAAGTATAATGACGCAAATTTTACGCGAAGCAAAATTTCAAATGTAAAGGAGGAAAATGATAAAGCAAATACGAAAGTATTATTTAACAAAGTAAGCTGGATAAAGGCTTTATAACCTCTCTTCTTTATCTTGGATAAGATATCGGTTATCTTAAAACAAATGCGCATAACTAAGGCGTTCGTTTATAAACTGTTACTCATTATTTTCATATATATTATCTGATATCCTTAAATTTATTTTAGAAGGTTAATTTCTTTACAATCAGATTACTGGATTGTTGAATTTAGTATTTTGAGATTTAAATGTGTACAATTTTATTTATCGCTCTGTTGCGAAAGACATTGTTTTAAGCACACAATTTTCCTCTTAACTTAGGATACGGTAAAATGAACTTAAATGTAACTTATATCACGATGTGTAAAATAATATACATACTATTAAAATTAATATAATAATGTTATATATTTTTGTTAATGTAAAAATTATAGTCAGTAATTTTATGGTTCATAATAAGAGGTAGCATAGTTAAAAAAGTAAAAAAATACTACGATATTTTTAACTTTTAGTCTTGAAACGTTCGTTTTTAATGTCAAGGTTAAAATGTAATAATATTTGACTTGCTTATTTTATTCAGACCGCAGCTTGGGTGCAACAAGTCTACGTTTATGGAAAAACTTTACTGTAATTATTTTTGTAACAAAACATAAGAATTAGCGAGATATTAACGTCATAATCGCACTAAAAACAACAAGGTGTACTAAGAATTTGTAATATAAAATCTGGTGCAACAGCTTTTAGCGTTGACCTTGACACTTAACACTTTTTATTTGTATACTGCAGAGCTTTTAGGCTTTTTAAAATTCACCTGCTGCTATTTAGAATCAAAAATCTACACGACAAGACTGCTTAAATTACTCTGACTTTAGGTATTTTCATGCTTAATTATACCGCCTTTTCTAACTCCAAAATATTTCTGCTATTTTTAACCTTCACAAACATGAAATTTCTAATTTTTTAGACTTGGTTTATCTGGATAAAGAACTAATAGCCTTCAACTATTGCGTACGTAATTTCATTTAACACAATCAAACACAAAGCCAATTGTTACTTACATTTGTTGCGTGCACATATTCATTGTTGTTAATAAACAATTTATGCTTCTTATGTTGAATGAAAATTCTGTCGCTAAACTCAACATCATCAAGGAAAATATATTTAAATTGTACATTTTATCAATGACGTTATTAACTATGCATTTCGAATGACATGTACCAACTAATGCGTACATCTGTTACCCAGAATAAATTAGAAAGACCCATAAAATTATAAGATCATTAAATGTATGTTAATACTAGCTGTTGCCCGCGACTTCGTCCCCGTAATATTAAGGTAAAAACAAGTCTATAATATGCCCGTTTATGTCAGCTACCCCTCAGTGAAAGTCCGGTCAAAATCGGCCCTGCCGTTTCGGGATTAACCGGAGAAATGCGGCTTGTGAACTGACAGACAGACAATTTTTTTTAATTATTTTCGTTATCAGCAACGCTAATATATCATCTTATCGAAATCTGGATTTTTTTTCAAATATCACAAACAGACGCTCCAATTTTATTATATGTATAGATTACACGCATATCGTTGTTGTGACAGACAGAAATATCAGTAATCATCAGTATTATGACAGTATCAAGATTCAAAATTAACTTATCTAGCCTCAATAAATAGAGATGTAGTATAGCTGTATCTTTTTATATAATCAATTGTCGTATAATTTTCCTGCTGCGTATTTAATATGTTATGAGGCTATGAAAAGTAACAGAATTAATCTATTGGGGGAAATATTTGTCTTTTAGTGTTACTTCGTATAGATCTTGAAATCAGATATCGCAAAGATAACCTAGAATGTAAGGTTAATGAAATATTCTTGGTATGATTAAGGAAGTAATAAAATATGCATATGATTTAATGCGTTTTATTTTGCATTACTTGTGAATAAATTGTTTACTCTTATTAAGGGTCAGTGTCATGTGAATGTTAGTTGAGTTCAAATGAGTTAAAGGTCGCGGTTAATCTTGACCCACTTTTATGTTATATCATTTCTCACGTGTATATTGAAATTATTTTAGTAATATCTATATTCTGGAAATGTTTTATTACATTTCAACGAACATAAGTGTCCGATGCGGTTTATAGGTCACATAAAATTTTCATTTATTTTTTTTTTAATTTTTACGTAATGATATTATGAATACTGAAGTTTCAATTTATTTTAAGAATTAATATTTTTACTAATACGGTGCTAATAACAAATAAATAATCATATTTATCTGTTCATACAAATCTAAATACCGGATCAGTGTGAAATAACATAATTCGGTCGCATTATTCGGCTGTCAACTTTTTGATTTTAAATAATTTTATTAATATGCAGTCTTCGAACAGAACTCGTTTTATGAATAACTAGCTGTCCCCGTGCGGCTTCATCTGCATGAAATTATGAAAATTTTATTTTATTGTTTATATTTGTCAAATTATCAATAGCAAATGTCAAAATGACATGACATGACAAACCTTAGTAATCTTTCTTTATTTATGTTGGCAGCAACTTATGATCTCTTTCCCTTATTAGGGTTTTTATCCAAAATATTTACGCCCTAAGTTAAATGTCGCGAAAATATATAGTCGTAATGCATGCCGAAAGTGCAGGGCTTTTTATAAAATAAATAAATTATTCAAAAATATGCTGTAATTGCTGACATCTTAGGCAACAAAGAAGTGTGTGTTTACGCTTTATTATAATAGTATATATTTAGTATACAGATTTTTTTCTAGTATTGTATAATTATATTTCTCTATTGCATTCTCTTATAGTTAAATACTTCGCACGCCTAACAATTATTAGGTAAGTAGAGGTGCGGCGACGCCTTGACAATGATCTTCTATTCAACGTTAACCTATGCTCAAGGCTCTTTTGTTTGTTTTTATTAACTTGCAGATGTTTGTGGATGCATTTTTAAATTTATTAGCTAAAGTATCAAATTGAATTTCCATATTAGTTAGTGAAATAATACGACAATAATTTACAGGGAATTATAAATGAAAACTAAAGCTATAATGGCCTTTTTCCCACCTATATTTAATCATTCGTTAGTGATCTTGATGGATAACTTTATGAAATGCGTGTTAATGTTAATGTGTTAATGTTATGTTATGAACTATGTAACTTGAGTTTTACTCTATTGAAACCAAGTTCAACTTAACACTAATGAAACAATAGATAACGATAAATCAATGGAAACTTCAGAAACCCAGTATTTGACTGTTAAAAATTAACTAACTAAATTAAACAATCTTAACTAAGCTGAATGTTTTGACGTATGTTACGTAACATTTTTCATATCATTTTCATTTTGGATCAATGATCTTTTATAACCGCAAAAAGTAAACTGTGGCCTTCCTTTGAATAGTAAAAAAAGTAAAATGTACACATCAAAGTCAAGTTTATTAAAAACACATTATTTATGTTTAATTTTTTTCATTATCTTTGTACCCAGTTTGAAAGTAAAATAAGTAATAAAGTGGGTAAATATTTCAAATGTTGTAATTGTCGTTGTAAGCACATACATATTAAAATGATTAAGTAAAATTGTGCTTAACAACAGGTAAATTCTAAAACGCTAATATAATTTCTTCATTAGAAAGGTAATTATATTTGAATTAAATGTTTCACAGGTGCACAAAGGTGCCGCCACCGGAAAGTAATACGTAAGTACTATTTGTACATTAATTACTTTATAATAATTTTAACATTTAAACAATTAAAATTAAATGTTCACTCACTTTCACTTATCAAAGGATATCAACATCATTTTAGTCAATAAAATATTATCAGGTTAGTAAAATTAAAATATCCGTGCATTAGTAAATACAGACATTTATGCTAGTCATTTTTCATAGTAGTGAGTACTATGTTCACGCTATCGTGCGTTGTATAAACAAGTGTAATGGGCGTCAAAACATTATTCTTCATCTTGTGGACAGCGCGATGCAATAAGGGTCAAGGTCGCTTGCATATTCATTACACAAACACAATGCGATTTGTACAATTTTCTTTCAGATTTGACTCTTAACTTTTAAGGGACTTACACGAAAATGGGAAGGTCTATACATACGAGGTTTAACTTGACATCCTAATCTCTATCTAAGTCTTAATTAAAATAACATCGTAATTCTATTGTCCCGTTGGGCTAACAAATGGCTAAGAGATTTTTTCCCCTTGGGTCGATTGGTTCTATAGCCTA